TGGATTTGCGGGGCAGTTTATATTCATAGGCCAAACATTCCCTGATAGTTTCCAAAGGCCAAGGATAAATTGAAAAAAAAAAAAAAAAAAAAAATCGGAAAAAGTCAGAAAAATAATCAGAAAAAATCAGGAAATCGGTGTACGCTTGAATTTATAGTAGAGTACCCCTCGCGCTCCCTTCCCGCCGCCCAGGTTCACCCCCGAGTCCGTCCGCTGGCTCGCGGCGCGCGGACGCCTGGACGAGGCGGACGCCATCGTCGCCAGGGTGGCCGCCATCAACAAGGTGCCCGTCAACGAGACTCTGCGCAGCGCGGCCGGCAAGGCGGAGTCCCTGGTGAGTGTCTAAAAAAAGTCGACAAAAGTTAGACGCTGTCCTAATTTTTTTTTTAGCGGTCCATTAAAAACATCTGCCACAGAGCACAAATAAAGCAGCAGAAAAAAAAAATGCAATAAAAATCAATTATCTATGAGCTACCAGCGTAGCGCAAACATTATTTTTTATTTCGGTCCCTCCCCTCGGGTGTTTCTGTTCCTGGGTGCCGGGTGCAGGGCGGTGGCGAGTCGGCGGAGAGCTCCGGGACGTTGCACACGCTCTTCAACCTCCTGAAGTCCCGGACGCTGCTGCTGCGGTTCATCAACTGTGCCTACTGCTGGTGAGTCCGAGTAAGTGACGAGCGTTCGGACGCGACGCGACCCCTCTATACCGGGCGCGGACCGTCGTCATAGCCGCCGATTCGAGAGAGGCGAGAGGCGAACGCAGACACCACCACTGCTCTCCGGATCGCGGGGTCCGTGTGCCTTTCGCAGGATGGCCAACACCTTCGTGTACTACGGGCTGTCGCTCAACGCCGTGACGCTCTCCGGTGACCAGTACGTCAACTTCATCCTGTCGGGCCTGGTGGAGATCCCGGCCAACCTGCTCGCCATCTGGCTGCAGGAGTACGCGGGCCGCCGCTGGTCCCTCGCCGGCACCCTCATCGTCTCCGGCGTCTGCTGCCTCGCCTTCCTGGGCGTCCCGGCCGGTGAGAGGGATTTTAATTTTCCAAAAAAGTACTTTTTGGGAAATT